TTATTTCAAACATTTTGTGTTATACTACTCAGCTTGTATGCCGATTTATATAATAACCAAAAGGATTTGAACTAGATCTCTCTCTCACTATATCGATCGATTCGGCTCACTTTCTGATGGGCTTTCCCTGTTCGCCTGCCATAATTAAATTTCAAAATATTTTTTTCTAATTTTAATAATCTTTTTACACTCTGCACCGCTTATGTTACATAGATATGCTAAGTTGTGCGCAATACCGATACGGGACTTGAGCTAGACCCGAAGCTTGAGAAGGAGTTGAGAACGATTCAGAATTGCTTTCTCAGGGTCAATCTAAGCGTTTTTTCTTATGTTCAGTCCACAGGTAGCAATTTTTGAGATATTTCGATGAAATTCGGTCCACTAACGTAGTATCAAAATCCAACGGCGATAGGATCGGATCGCTTTTTCGTCACATTGCCTGTATAGCGTTTTATTTTGGCAAGTCGTAATACGAATAACTGCATTAAGCGAAGTGGTATGGGCAGTGGCCCATTATGATGGTTTTGCTTCTTATTATTTATTTATTTATTTTTATTTTATTTTATTCCACTTATACTAGAAACTCAACTAAACAAGTAACAGTCGAGTTCAATAGGCTCTTAATGCAAAACTAATATTAATTAACAATAAAATTGAGTATAAGCATAATAAAACAAATAAGAAGAGAAAAAAAAAAAAGAAAAAGAAAAAAGAAAAAAAAGCATGTACACTATCAGCATAGGGCCACACTTACAACCGGTACAGGACCAAATTGCAAATGAACCCCTAGGCCATCGCAAACATGCATAAGTCTGGCAACCGATAATAAATTAACAATAATTCACTTTCGAAACGTAACGACTTTTTAAGGATGAAAGCTAGTTTAAATACGACATAGGTAAATCGCGCGTATTAAGCAATGTTGCTTTAATGGACTTTAAAGAGTCCGATAACGAGAATAAGTGGTAGACGTCATTTAGGTTCTTGCAAACGACTCTGAGCGGATTGAACAGCTCATAATTAAGTTTACACTGATTAAGCTTTACCAAGATAAAGTGCCTAGAGAAGCGGTTAGGGACATTGAAGCTTACTTCACCAAGTAATGAAGGCGAGTCAATAGCACCATTTATTACTTTAATTAGAAAGGAAACGCCAAGAACAAATCTACGTTTCTCAAGAGACGGTAGGGACAGCAGAAGCAACCTATTTTCATACGGAGGAAGAGAGGCAATCGGATCCCAACCCAAATTTCTGAGGGCAAACAGCAAGAATTGCTTTTGAACTGATTCAATTGAATCTACGTAGCACCTATATGAAGGAGACCACACAACTGAGGCATACTCGAGTATGGGTCTAACCAAACACATGTACAGCCATTTCGTAATGTAGGGATCATCAAGCTCTTTGGACCACCTTTTTATAAAACCAAGCGCGGACCTAGCTTTGCTAATCGAGAGCTCAATATGCAAGTTAAAACGTAACCTATGGTCAAATAGGACGCCTAAATCCGTAATCGAATCGACGTCCTCCAACTTATGCGAATCTATGAAATACTGAGTAATGAATGACTTTCTTCTTGAGAATGAAAGCTTCTTACATTTACTCAGATTTAGTTGCAGGAGATTCAAAGAGCACCATGCAACAAAATTATCTAAATCACCTTGAAGCTGATGTGATTGCGATTCAACAGAGAAGGAAGAAAACAGTTTCACATCATCAGCATACATTAAGATCTGGCTGGAATTAACCACCGATGGGAGATCGTTAATGTATAAACTAAATAAAATGGGACCCAAGTGACTTCCTTGAGGTACGCCAGACGTAACGGGGAATTCATCCGAGCTAATGAAGTTAAACAAAACTCTGAAGGATCTATTGTGCAGATAAGAGCTTATCCATTTCACTAAGTAGGGTGGGAAACCGGAGGCTTGGAGTTTAAAGATAAGTAGTCTATGGTTAACCAAATCAAATGCTTTGCTTAAATCAGTGTAAATAACATCTGTGCGAGAGCCACTAGAAAAAGCCTTGAAAACATGACAGGTAAACTCTAACAAGTTGGTGACTGTAGATCGCCCTTTCCGAAAGCCGTGCTGGTGCGGAGAAATATACGAATTAATGGCAAAGGCTAAATGCTGAGTCACAATACGCTCGAACAA